TTGGAAGAACTGGGAATGAAATACACCCTTGATTTGGAATAAAATACACCCTTGATTGGGAATAAAATACACACATGATTTGGAAATAAAGTACAATTTAATACACCTGCAAGGAATATGAGCGAGAGTGGTAGACAGAAATCCAAATTGCAAAATCACGAAGTAGTCCAGATAGTCATGTACCAATCAGAGAGCACAATGCACGAAGAACTCGTATGTCAATGTCGACACTCTCTGGCCACACCGACACAATATCAGAAGTCGCTCCTACTGATTGGCACCCAGCGCCCAGCCTACACTACTCAGCCTATCTAGTCTATCTACATTCATGCGACAGGATCACATCAAGTTGAAGACCAATGTATGTGACATTATCACCAAAGCAGGCCACCAGCATACACCAGGTACGTTCTCTCTCCTCCCCTCATCACACCCTTTCTTCCCTCTGCATGCAGCACCAACCCGAAGACCACCATCACCATCACCGCGCATGCGCCCCAGCATCTCGGCCATGGCCGACGGCCGCCGTGCGCCCGCTGCCACTGCAGCGCACCTCTCACCTCTTGCGCCCGTGCCTGCATCTGGCCCGCAGCATAGCGCAGCAACTCGTGCGCTAATGCAACAGTGTGGCCGCATTGCTCTGCCAGGCCAGAATGCTACACCCCTAGGCTCTCATTTTCCTATATGGAAAGTGTGCCCTGCCGCTGGCTGTCTTGGGCTTGGCATGTACGGGCCCAATAGCTTCAAGTTGGCCCAAAGTGCCTGGGCCTTGTGAAGTTAGGCAGTTCCAGGTAGCCCTCCAGGCTCCAAGTGTTTGCCCCATTCTCATCGGCTTGTGCTGGATATGTGACGAGAATGCTGCATTCTCACTAGTCTGCAGCCACTGCTTGGTGTCAGCGCGACCACCTGAGCCCTGGGCACTATAAAGCGCAGCTGTTGCTTCTGGAAGGAGCCACAAAAGGCTCACGTTGCTCTGTAACCAACTGGCGTGTGGCGACTGTCTGATACCGCACATATGAAAAATGTTGAAAATAGGCCTCCCGTGGATGTACAGGTCCGCCTTCACTTAGGGCGGGCACGAGGCTTGCTGGGGGCAGCAGCCCAGAACATCTGCATGTCCAGGAAGGGCCTCTCGAAGGCTCATTCCTCGCATTTCATCCCCCTTAGCTTTGAAAGTCTGCTGAGATGCTTCTACGCAGGTGCCTTCCCCTTCAACTTTCGTTCATACTCTGCCATGATTTGAGGTGCTGTTCCAACGAGCTCCTCTCATGTGAACCAACGATCTTCTTTCGGATATGTATGATGCTTGAACCTGACCCGGTACTCCCTCATAGGTTTGGGCGGTCTTCCTCTGCCCACAGGCTTGGGAACAGGCAAGTCTCTGTGTTCCAAAATGTCGCCGACGTCCACATGGCCATCCTTGGTTAGGGGCAGGATTGACCTTCTTGATGGAAATCGATCAATCTCAGCGAAAGGTGCAAGCTTGGAAGCAAGGAATACAGGGTAAGTGGGCAGATGACCAGGGATTCTTACCACGTACAAGGGTCCATCCAAATCACTACCCACGATATCGAGAACTTCCTTAGGACCGAAGTACTGTGGCATTAGGTTCCTAGAGATACCGAATTCCTGACCCAGTTCACTAGCCTTTACCCAGAAACGTTCCCCTATCTGAAATGTGGACTGTCGGCTGTGTTCATTCTCAAATCATTGCCTCCTGCGATTTTCTAATGTGCCTAACAGCCTGCTGCAACAACTTCTCATACTGCACACCAAACTCTATGGTTCTAGACGTTGCAGTTGGCTGGTTTTCAGGAGGGAGGAAGTCTAGTGCAGATCTAGGCTTCCACCCAAAATGGAGTTCGTTCGGATTGACGCCGGTGGTGCTGTGTACAACGTTGTTGTAGAGACTGGCGATGAGAGGCAACTTCTCATTCCAGTCATCCTGGCGTGGCTTGATGTAATGTGTCAGCAAATGCTGCACCACGCGGTTCATCTGTTTTGCTTGCCCATTGGCTTCGAGGCGATTCCCCGAAGGCTGCCCATCTGTTCAGCGGGGCCTTCTTCCACATCTCACTGGTGAACCGGACATCTCTGACACTAACGATGTCCTTGGGCAGTCCAAAGTCTCGCACCCAGTTGTCCATAAATACATTGATGACGTGGTCGGTCCTGGTAGTCTCGACATGGGAATTAGTCTAGCGTACTTAGTAAACATGTCTACTATGACGAAGATGTGTCTCTTGCCAATCTTGCTGTTCACGAAGGTATCCATGAAATCCATGGAGACACTCTGTCCCTGACCCGCAGGAATGGGCAGGGGCTTGAGTAACCCAAGCGGAGCTTGAGTTTGCGACTTATCCCGCTAACAGACTTGGCAAATTTGGACAACTTCTTCACATCGTCAAGCATACTAGGTCACCAGAAACGCTGGACTAGGTTGGCATTAGTCTTCTTGTAGCCGAAGTGACCTGTCGCCTCATGACACTCACCTAGAAATAGACTACGCAAAATCTCACTAGACCGCCCACAATCTTTTAAACCTTGCCTTGCCAAGAAAGAGTAACCCATCCACCATCACAAACTCGTCCGATGCGGCCTTGTCTTGGGCCTCTACTCTGCATATGATGTTGGTCATGATGGGATCTTCCTTGTAGGCCTCCACCAATGTTGGAGTTACGTCGTCAGATAAGCCAAACTCAGTAATTAGCCCACCTAGGTAGTCTGCCTTCCGCGACAGCGCATCAACAACCTCGTTGTACTCTCCATTCATGTAGTCTAGCTTGAAGTCATACTGATCGATGACTTCAATCCAGCGTTCGAGTGCATCAGAGAAAACAGGCTGCGTCTTGATCCATTTGAGGGTCGGATGGTCAGTTCTCAAGTAGAAGAACCTTCCCAACATATAGTGCCTCCAGGTGACAATAGCCTTGTAAAGGGCGTAGAGTTCCCTCTCATAGGTGGACTTCACCAACTTCTTAGTTGGCATGTTCTTACTCATGTACTCGATCATCCTCAACTTCTTCCCTTCATGTTGGGCCAGCACTGCGCCAATGCCATATTGGCTTGCGTCAGTGGTCACGATGAATGGCTTATCAGGGTTAGGAAGCATGAGAATCTCATGATGCAGAGAGCATCCTTCAAACATTTGAAGGTTCCCTCACATTCGTCTGTCCATTCCCATGGTGTGTCAAGGCGTGTTAGATCAGCCAAAAGGGCCGCCACCTTACTATAGTTCTTGACGAAGTTGCGGTAGTAGCCAGTCATCCCTAAGAAAGATCTAACCTCGGTCACAGACTGAGGTCGTAGCTGGTCACAAATGTTAGCCACCTTTGCATCTTAGGGCCTAACTCAATCCACAGATACTTCATGACCAATGTACAAAATTTCAGTGCAACCGAACTCGCATTTCTCCTGATTGATCTTATACTTGTGTTGTCTAAGGAGTCCTAGCACAAGATCTAAGTGTTGTGCATGCTCCTTGATAGTTTTACTAAAGATAAGAATATCGTCGAGGCACACGACAATAAACTTATCCAATTAGTCATGGAAGACCCTATTCATGGCGTGTCAGAATATACGAGGTGCATTGCAAAGGCCAAAAGCATCACCACAAACTCGTACAGACCGTTATAGGGCCCCATCGTGTTAGACTTTCGAGCCTAAGTCGACCCTTCAGCGGTCCCAGTTGGCTCAGCTCCGCCCATGCGCATACCCGAGGCGCGGAGCATTCGTTACAAAGTCTCACCCCCACCTAGTGCCATAAGATAGATGGGGTTGGGCCAACGAGCGAAAGAGCTTTGACATTGGGGATGTAGCTCAACCCTCGCGCTAGGTGGGTAGTCTACTGATCCTCGGCAAGCGTTCATTTTCGATGCTTCATCGTGTTCGCAGGCAATTGCTTCTTCCAATGCTCATCCGGTCCAGGGAGTTCATTGAGAGTTTGTCTTTTTTTATGCACAGGCCATGCATCCTCCCTGGGCCATACATCCATTTCCTAGGTGCAAAGGTTACTGGCGTTGACGAGGCAGAGGACTTGCCCTCTAGCTTAGGCCCGTTGACCAAGTCATGTGACCCTTATCACATCATTAGATCACCCCGTTGTTCCCGACCTCTTGCCAATCTAAGTGCTCACATCCTACATACTTTACCCTAGTCACTCATTCACATATCTTGTTTCATTGTTTGTCTATACACCCCTTAGTCTTTTCGGGGCCCGACCCACACTCATAGGACTTTGTTGTCCTTTTCATCCATCCGGCGTTGTTGCCAACATCCAATCATTTAGACCCCACTTTTTCTTTTAAGGGAAGTCATCATGCGACAAAAACTCATCCATGGGTGAGGGTTATGTTCAGAACCCATTTTCTTCTTTCCTTTCGGCACCCGGTTTCGTCGGGCGCCGTCCTGCTCAGGGCACTTTAGAAGGTTACTCGCCTGCACACTCAACACGATATAGGAACAAGCACAACCTCTAGTTGGGGTCAACACATAATTCCTTCCGCATGTCTATTCTCTTTATCCTTTGGTTCCTTCTCTTTATTCATTGCTTTTCCCTTGTCTTAGCCACTTTCTTCTTCCCGTCATGCATTCGGGGTGTTGGTCGAGTCAACTGACCATCCCTTAACCAGCAAGTCTTTTCAATCCTCAAGTTTCAAGTCCTTTGAACCCCGAGTCCCTTTTCCTCTTGGTGGTGCAAGGGACCGACAACCCTCCCCTTGCCCTCTTTCTCCACCAAGTGAGATCAAAGTTTTTTCACCGCTTGTTCCCTGGAAATGTGACAGGTGAGCGGGGATGGGTTACTCTCACGCCGAGATGAAAAAGGGTTGAGGGGTTTATCTTAGATTTAGAATGTGGAGGTGGAGGAAGAGGGTTGGCGGATGAGAGAGAGAGAGAGAGAGAGAGAGAGAGAGAGAGAGAGAGAGAGAGAGAGAGAGAGAGAGACCTCCTATGCGTAATCAAACCCCCCCCTCCTACTCACCCTATCGTTTTACCTAAGAACCCTTTTTACATTTCACAGTCCTATACTATGTAAGCATGGTGGCGGTCAGGTGATAAATGTGGAGGAGAAGAATGTGCAAGGTGGTTGGTTGGTTATGGTGGATGACTGATGGTGGTGGTGGAAAAAGAAGGTGCAAGGTGGTTTGTTGTTTATGGTGGATGACCGATGGAGGTGGTGAAAGAAGGTGCAAGGTGGTTGGCTATGGTGGATGGCTGATGGAGGTGGAGGAAGAAGAAGGTATAAGGCGGTTGGCTATGGTGGATGGGTGATGGAGGTGGAGGAAGAAGGTGCAAGGTGGTTGGCTATGGTGGATGGGTGATGGAGGTGGAGGAAGGAGAAGGTGCAAGGTGGTTGGCTATGATGGATGGGTGATGGACGTGGAGGAAGAAGAGGGTGCAAGGTGGTTGGCTATGGTGGATGGGTGATGGAGGCGGAGGAAGGAGAAGGTGCAAAGTGGTTGGCTATGGNGTGGTTGGCTATGGCGGATGGGTGATGGAGGTGGAGGAAGAAGAAGGTGCAAGGTGGTTGGCTATGGTGGATGGGTGATGGAGGTGGAGAAAGAAGAAGGTGCAAGGTGGTTGGCTATGGTGTATGGGTGATGCAGGTAGAGGAGGAAGAAAGGTGCAAGGTGGTTGGCTATGGTGGATGAGTAATGGAGGTGGTGGAGGAAGAAGGTGCAAGGTGGTTGGCTATGCCGGATGGGTGATGGAGGTGGAGGAAAAAGAAGGTGCAAAGTGGTTGGCTATGGTGGATGGGTGATGGAATTGGAGGAACAAGAGGTGCAAGATGGTGGATGGGTGATGGAGGTGAGGAGGAAGAAAGGTGCAAGGTGTTTGGCTATGGTGGATGCGTGATGGTGGTGGAGGAAGAAGAAGATGCAAGGTGGTTGGCCTTGGTGTCTCCCTACTTCTAAGTACCGGTCCCGCCTCTCTTGTGTTGTCCAAGGCTCGGATTCATAGAAAGCTCAAATTTTGCAGAAAACTCATATTTGCAGAAAACTCAGATTTGCAAAAAACTTAGACAAATTTTCGTCGTTGGTGAGATGCGAAAGACTCAGATTTCGGTTTGCTGGCCCAAATGACGTCTATTGACCCCGTAACTTTGCAGGCCCCCTATACATACCCTGCCGATGACCTTCTAAATTTGGGCCTCATTCCGCCGTCGTTTGCCCCTACTTGCCCGTTTTCGGCTTCGCCCGTAGCTCAAAGTGAACAGTTCAAGGAAGTCCATTTTTCGTTTTTGCGGGAAAATTGACTCAGATGGCAAGGGGACTTTGCAGACTATATACCTATGCCTTGGACATGGGGCCTGCCAAGTTTCAGACCCCATCCCCTTTGTCCCCTTTGTTTGGCGGGGGGTTGTTTTTTGCCACCCCCTGGTTACGTCGAACAGTCGATAATTCTGAACCGGCTTTTGGTCAGGGTCGAACTACGGTTCCAGCAGCAGCAACAATCAAGTACCTAGTCCTTAAATAGCAGCAGCAACCGCAAGAGCAATACCTACCTACCCTTTTCCCCGATGTTCCCCCAACACTTAGACTAGGATCGGTCTATCATGCAAGGCGACAAAGATAATGTGGAACATTCGGATGGCAAGGCTTTACTCGAGTTAGGGGAAGCACAGTTTGGGTTAGTCAAAATAGAGCACAGCTGTAGAAAAGTACAACTTAGACCCGCAAAAGACATGAGTTCCATCACAGTACTGAGTGCACTAGGGTGTGAGTAGTGGCGTTCGAATAGAGCACACGGGGGGTGAAGTGTCATATAAGAAGACACAGTCCTAACACACGCACATAACTAGAAGAAACACTCAAGTGTGAAACAAAATACTACCAAGTGGAAGATTTATGGAAACCATGAGAGAAAACTTGACAAAACACATACATATGACTAGATGAAGCACCCAAGTGAGATGCTACCAAGTGGAAGATTGATGAAAACCATTCGAGAAACTAGACAAAGCACATGCACATTACTAAAAGTAGCACTCGAGAGCGAAGCGAAATACTACTACCAAGTGGAGGATTGATGCAAATCATGAGGAGAACTTTACAAAACACATGCACATGACTAGAAGAAGCACTCAAGAGTGCATGTGAAATACTACCAAGTGGAAAATTGGCGAAAACCATAACACATGAATATTATTAGCACTCAAGTGTGAAGTGAAATACCACCAAGTGGAAGATTGATGGAAACCATGAGAGAAACTTGACAAAATACATAGACATGATTAGAAGAAGCACTCGAGAGTGAAGCAAAATACTACCAAGTGGAAGGTTGATGAAAATCATGAAGGAAACTTGACAAAGCACATCCATATGACTAGAAGAAGCACTCAAGAGTGCATGTGAAATACTACCAAGTGGAAAATTACGGAAGTCATGAGGGAAACTTGACAAAACACATGCACATGACTAGAAGATGCACTCAAGAGCGAAGCAAAATACTACTAAGTGGAAAATTGACAAAAGTTATGAGAGAAACTCGACAAAACACATGCAAATGAGTAGACGAAGCACTCAGTGTGAAAAGCAGAATACTAAAAGCAGAATACTAAAAGCGGAATACTACCACGCGGTAGATTGATGGAAACCATGAGAGAAACTTAACAAAACGCATACACATGATTAGAAGAAACACTTAAGAGTGAAGTAAAATACTACCAAGTGGAAGATTGATGGAAACCATGAGACAAACTTGATAAAAAATATGCACGTAACTAAAAGAAGCACTCATGTGTGAAGCGAAATACTAGACAAAACAAATACACAAGGTTAGTAGAGGCAAAAATAAAAGAAGTGATTTGCATGGAAGTGAAGGAATGCACAAAGCATGAGGAAATGAAGCCCACAACATTAGTTGAAGCAAGAACACAAGTGTTGAATCACACCCAAGTAAAAGATTGATCAAAACAAGGAGAGAAAGATGACCAAACACATACATAAGGCTAGCGAAGGCAATAATCAAAGTATCGATTTACATGGAAGTGGAAAACTAGACAAGCATGAGGAAATAAAGCTCACAATACTGGTTGAAGCAAAAACACAAATAGCAAATTACACCCAAGTGGAAGAATGTTCAAAACAAGGAGAGAAAGATGGCAAAACACACACCCAAGTCTAGTAGAGTCAATAATCAAAATAGTGATTTACATGCAAGTGGAAAACTAGAGAAAGCATTAGGAAATGAAACTCACAACACTAGTTGAAGCAAAAACACAAGTAGTGAATTACACCCAAGTGGAAGAATGCTCAATACATGGAGGCAAGAATCAAAGTAGCGATTC